TTTTTGTCTTTAATCCATAATCATCAAAATTGAAACAAATAAAGGCTTGAAATATTTCACTTTGTGTGCAGTGAACTAATATAACATACAAGTTTCACTTTTTGAAACAAATTATTGAAATAAATGGACTTTTCCTCGATATTCTAATTTTTTGGCACATACTGTATTTATTGAGTGGGGAGAAACTTAATCTCGTAGATAATATTTTAGCTTTGGGGCCAGGCCTTTTAAAATATTTTCACTGTTATACACTGTCTCAGCTTTATCTGTGTGGGTAACCCTAATGTCTCTGTTTGCAGATTTATCTGGGGGTAGCAGCTCAGTACTGGTGAAGTTTGCATGAATTTGACCTCTGAAAACAGGAGGGGTGTTATTCTTGGGGAACTACTAAAAGTTATTAGGGTCTGAGTTGCCTAGGCCTGTATATTGGCCTGGTCACATATGATTGCATGGAAAAACGATTTAATGTTGCAGCTCCGTACAATGACCGCTGGAGGATACATTGACCAAACGGACACAATCATAAGTAACTGAAATGATCGTTAAACCAATACTTTTTAATTTCTAGTGGTCACAGTTGGAAACCAGAACTCCACATCCTTCAGTAGAAATAACGCTGACGTGTGTATTCATGTACACTTTTATCAACCGAATATAATCACGTTTTACTACCATCTAGTGGTTGCATCAAGGAATTGCAACACCAGACTCGTCAAGGTACCGTAAATATAGCGATTATCTCACTTATTTTGAAAATCCGGTTACAAAACTGGAGCAACACGATAACAAATGCCAGAAATCATGAAATGCTCATATGAAATATAAAATACACTTGGAACAACTACGACATACAAAGCTAGGTTTAATGAGCATGGGGGGCAGCCAGGCTAACACCGCTAACGAGCTTCTCCATTAGCATTGCCCACCGTCTTTAGCACAGTTAGCGAGACTACTGAAAACTAGGCCACTGGTCTCTTCGGTTACTTCGGTCTGCATCGGTTACATGTTCTATCCATAATCCCTCGGGTAATTGTCAGAACATCATTTATTTTTTTAAAATTGTTTCATAGCGCCGGTAACTATAGTTTGAAGGTTCAAACCGGAAGTGTTTTCATGCTGTCATGGCTGCGTAGATGCTAATTTTACTAATTTGATATGTTGCATCTTTGAGCAATGACCACTGGAGGGAGACTAATCTCACGATTCTAGTAAGTCCGTCTTGATTCTGGGTGGGTGGAAAGCTCCCAGTTAGTTCTAACACTGTTATTTGTAAAGTCAAATTGTACTAATCTATACACATTGATATTTAAGGTTATCATACTGATGTTACTGTGTTTTAGCCACACATTTTATATTGTTGTTCAGCTGTAGTACCTAGCTGTGACTATGAGATGGCACTCAATGCTCACTATTCTAAATGGCTGCTTTATTATTATTTTTTTTAATAAATTCAATCCTTTGTGAAATTTGTATCTGAAAGAGAGTGAGGCTGCTAATTTACTGTATGACTTGTCAAATTTTGTATGATTCAAAAATGGGTTTGGGGAGATGAGGTGAAATATAAAGTATAAAATAGTTTCAAGAGCAGGCTGTACAGACATCTCACTTTTTGCACACTTTGTGTTTGCAATTCAACTTTAATTAGATACATTACAATTTTTGACCATGAATCTGCATTCAATATTCAAAAATGATAAAGTAAAATGTTTTTAGTAATTTGTGCAAATGTATTTGAAATGAAATCTCTTCATTGTGGTCAGGTGCATCCTGGTTGACATGTGTCTAGACCCTGACTGGTGTGCATCTGTCAACCTGAACTGACTGGACAGAGCATAGAAAGACACCCTGTGTATATGTCCTACAGTTCATGTCCTACTGCATGTTAGGACACAAACAAGATGTGAAGTCCAGGAACTCTCTGTAGACCTCTGTGGTCAGACTGTGGTGAGGCCCAGATCAGGCCCATGTTTAGAGCTCTGAGTGGCCCCGGGCGCACAGTGGCCTCAGTAACTGGGACACGAAAGAAGTCTGGTACCAGCAGGAGTCAGTGTCCGACCAGACTAACAAGGCAAGAAGGGCCATTGGTCAAGGAGCAGACCAAGGACCCAGTGGTCCCTCTGGCAGAGCTTCAGAAGTCATCTGCAGAGATGGAGAAACTGCAGAAGGACGAGCAGCTTCTCCATCAGAGAATTTAAAATGAAATCTACAGCACAACAAAATGTGCAAAAAGTGAAGGGGTCCCAACACTTTACATCGACACTATAACAATATTTCAAAGACTGCAAAGAAAATGCTTAGATTTTACTGAACTGTATGAATTTAATCGGTTAGTTTGACTCCAGAAAGTAACAGTGTTGCTTTGAGCTGTAGTGAGTGTTACTGTGCAGTAGCTTAGTTTAGTCACAGAAGCTCTGATTGATCATTAGAAAAGAAACTACAGGACCAGAAATGAGCAAACCACATAAATCAGATCAGCTACAGTGTTTTAGATGAAGCTGTAGCTGAGGTCACTTGTTAACTGTGCAAATGATCAGAAGTCAGGTATTAAGGACAAGCATTTCCATTACTGTCTAGGAATAAGTGGTGCGCAGGCCGTTAGTAGAGTCGATGTCAGGACGAGCTGTTCGAGGTTCTGTCCCACTCCACCAGGCTTCTCACTGGAAGGCATGCTGCTTTGCTGGGAACCTTCTGAGTGTCCCAGCTCGACACAGGCATGTCGTCACCCACGGTGTGAAAGGCCGACATGCGTTGTCCCTGAAACACAGTGATCTCGCTGTGTGTCTCTGTCTCACTGCTGCTGCTGCTGTTACAGAGCAGGTCGGGCTGCGAGAGGCACCCGGCTCCGTTGGTCATGTCTGAACTCCCTAAATCAAAGAAGCTGCTGTTTTCTCCAATCCCCAGTCCAAAGCTTTCTAGTATGTCCAGTGCTGATGATGTGGACAGGCCACTGGGGGTCTCGTCCTCGGTGAGACTCAGTGCAGGCAAGATGTCCACCAGCTCTGCCATCTCCATCGGCCAGATCACCTCAGTGATGCTGGAAGCAAAGTCCTGTTTCCTGCTGGAGGACTCCTGCATGTCCAGTACTGTGTCTAGTCCAGACTTGATTAAAGCACTCGCACATCCTTCTGACTGGCTTGTCAAGTCCACAGCTGACTGGGCAGAGATGTCCACAGGGTACCCTCCCTTTGCCACACCTTCTGCTAACACCAGCTCAGACTCTGCAGGGTCAACCATGATTCCTGCAGGATCAGAGACCTCGGCCGTGACGACATGTGGCAGGTTCCCACTGACTAAACTCTCTGCAAAGGAAACGCAAGAAGGTGAAGTCTTAATGCTTGATTTAGAGCATCATTCAGGCTAAACCAGTTGATTTAGAGCTGCTTGTCACAACAGCTATTACAGTGTCAGCCTCAGTGTGCTCTAGATTTTCCTTCCAGCAGCTGCTTCCTCCAAAGCCTGAGTGAAGCTGTCATACTGTACCGAACATAACACTGCATTTGATAATGAAAACTATGCTAATTCAAGGCACCTCTTTCTATTATAGCGGTCTTATCTCAAAGGTTATATTCCATATCTCTGGTGCATTAATTTATATCCAGGTTCAGTTTGACACATAACATCAACAGAAGACATGCATGCTAATAGGAATCTAAAATGAGGTTTTGTAGCTTTAAATAAAGCGTTTGTACAAATTAAACTTACAATGTGGACCAGCGGGTTCACGGCTGAAGATGTCAGGCTTTCAGTTGTCCACCTTCTGTCAGTGTTTTCTTTTTACTTGGCTGCCTCTATTCGCAAACTCTACTAGAATATACACTCAGTACTCAGTTTATTAGGTACATTCAGCTAAAACTAAGCCTAAACTAAAGCAACAGTTCAGCCTGGTCTCGCTGATACTGGACCTACAGTTGGTACAGAAAGTTTTCAGGCCCCTTCAGGTTTTCCACATTTTGTTATGTCTAATCAAATGGACTCAATTTTTTTTCTCATCAATCAACGTACACTGCCTCCCAGTGACAGAGTGAACCAGATTGAGTGTTTTGTAAATGTGTTAAAAGACTAAACATCCCATTTACATCAGTATTCAGACCCTTCACTTAGGACTTGGTTAAAGCTGCTTTGGCAGCAGCGACAACAGCTTCAAGTCTCCTTAAGAACAAAGCTACAAACTCAGCACCTTCCTTCTGGAATTTTCTTCCATTCTTCTTGGCAGAATTGTTCCAGGTCAGCCAGGTTGGATGGGGGGCGGTGGTGCACGGCCATGTTCAGGTCTCTCCAGAGATGCTCTGTTGGGTTCAGGTCCGGACTCTGGCTGGGCTGCTCCAGGACTTTCTTGGAGTTTTCCTGAAGCCACTCTTGTGTTTTCTTGGCCGTATGCTTTGGGTCATTGTCTTACCCCAGCCTGAGGTCCTGAGCGCTCTGGAGAAGGTTTTCATTCAGGATTGCTCTACATCTTCCTGCATCCGTCCTCCCCTCTGTCCTGACAAGTCTCCCAGTGGCCACAGCCTGATGCTGCCTCCACCATGTGCGACTGTAGGAGGTGAGGTGATGCTCAGGGCCTGGTTTTCTTCGCACACTGTTGGAGTTGTGGCCAAATAGTTCAGTCTCTGTTTCATCAGACCAGAGGACTTTGCTTCTCATGTTCTGAGAATCCTTCAGGTGCCTTTGGCAAACTCCCAGCAGGCTGTCATGGGCCTTCCAGATCTGTGAAGACTGGTGGTGGTTCCACATCTCTTCCATTTGAGAACAATGGAGGCTGCCGTGTTCTTGGACTCTTTCAATGCTGCAGACATTTTCTTTTTATCCTTCCCAAGATCTGAGTCTTGACACAATCCTGTCTGTGGACAGTTTGCTCCACCTCATGGCTTTGCTTTCACTCTGACACACACCACCAACAGTGAGACCTTAGACAGGTGTGTGCCTTTCCTAAATGTATCCAGCATTACATTAGACACAGACTGACTCTGATCAAGCTGCAGAAGCAGCTCAACGACCACTGACCGGAGCAGGATGCACCAGAGCTCAAAGGCTCTGAATACTGATGTAAATGGGATATTTCAGTCTTTTACTTTTATTACATCAACAAAACGCTCCAAAGTCCTGTTTTCACTTTGTCATTCTAAAGCACTGTGTGTAGATTGATGAGGAAAAAATGAGTTGAATCTGCTTAAAGACGAGTCTGAAACATAAAATGTGGAAAACCTGAGGTTCTGGAAACTTTCTGTACTGACAAAGCACTGTGTGTAGATTGATGAGGAAAAAATGAGTTGAATCTGCTTAAAGACGAGTCTGAAACATAAAATGTGGAAAACCTGAGGTTCTGGAAACTTTCTGTACTGACTGTAACTGGTGTACCTAATAAACTGACCATTGAGTGTAATGAAAGACTGGCCACCTACACCCCACGTCACTGTCACCGCACTGATCGTTGTACCTGTAATGGTTTTCTGTGCTTGTGTCCCATTGGGCCATTTTAGTCTGGCGGTCAAACTCTCCTCTTCCTCACCATCGGGACGTGGGGGCGGGTCTCCTCCCATCACTAGACCTAGGGGCACCGCCCCCACCCACTGCTTTGACCGAACACACTGTAGACAGTCCATAATCCAGCGGGCGTCCCTCCACACCACATCTAGACGCTAGAGAAACAGAAATGAAATATTCAAACTGGAAACTAGGGGTAGCAAACTAACTGGAGACACTGATGGGTAAATCCCATCTCCCTTTATTATCCACAGAAGAAGAGATGCAGACAAACTACAAATAAGAGACATCTGAAATATTAAACAGCATCGGTACGTTTGTGTAATTGTTTCTCTTCATAGTCGTACTTGGGAAATCGCAGTGATGTGCTTCAGGCGCTCTCGGGCTTCCTGCACCTCCCGGGTGTCGAGCGCCTCCCGCAGAGCCTGCTGGGCCAGATGAGTGTCCACCTCCAGCCTCACCCAGGCCTGGCAGTACTGGGCCAGGAAGTCCCGTTCATACGCCCAGAAATGAACTGGTGACGAGCCAGAGTCGAGAGACAAATCACTACATCAGAGCTGAGAGGAGGAGCCTCAGATCTCATTAACCTACGTCATAGTAGCTTTAGTGTGGGAATCTTCAGGACGGCTCAAAAGATGGAGTTAGATCAGAGTCAAAACAAATCCTCAAGTGTAGATGAAAACAAGGCTCAAAGTACAAACAGCATGTGGAAACGTTACACTTTCCAACCAGCAGCAGCTGGATTATTTTTTGATTTTAATAAAATTCTTTCCTTGAATTCATTTGAAGATGAAACACTTTCTGATCTTAGTGGGATGTATGCCATAAAAAAACTCCTTGTACTTCCCTGCTTCATGTCATACTACTGTTTAACTGTAAGGGACCAGGACACAGTGAGTCTTACTAAGAAAAGGCTGCCCTGCCTCCCCGTGGGCCCAGTTTGATGAACCTGTCACAGTATGATTCACATTTTTCTGTGAAGAACCTGGCTCTCCTTTCTGTGGGCCCTCTCTCACTCCACTCACCCAGCTCAAAGATCTGTAGGGGCATGGTGAGGCCGGGCTCCTTGGTCCCCACCAGAGGCCAGTAGCTGGAGCTGAAGTCCTCACTGGGAGGCAGCAGCAGCAGCATGGACAGCTTGTCTCCAAACTGCAGCAGCTCTCGGGTGTACACGCCGTACTGATAGGCCTGTCGGAGACACAGGAGTACAGCCGCTGTGAAAATATCCCATAATGTTACGAAGATTTGTTGAAGTGAATTTGATGATTTCTGCATTACTTCCTCAGACTCTGAACAATTTGTTTCGAGATGGCTGACACCACGTTTACCCTGTAGAGGGGGATGTTGAGCTTCGTCAGGAGATGTGTGACCGCCGCTCTCACAGATCTGACAAACTCAGTCAGCCCACTGCTCTCCATCGAGCTCTCGTCCTCGCCGCCCAGCAGGCTGTGAGCACCGCCGCTGGCTGTGGTGTAAACACGACTCTGGAGCCATGCCCACTCGTCTCTGTCACACAGTGACAGTGCACTTAACAAAACATTGCTATAAAAGGTGTGATAAGTAAGGGCATGCTACTCTTGAGACAGTCAAGTACAAAAACACACCAATCTCTTCACATGTTGCAGCCACTTAAATACTGGCCCATTTTTCAAGGCATATCTTATGTTTCTGGACTGATTTCCTGTCTCTAACATCATATTGTCACAAATGAATGCAAGCAGGGGCTCCTGCTGTGTTGGTGAAGGCTTGTGAGACAGTCCAACATCAAGGAGGTGCGACTTGGCTGCCAGACAGCACCGTGTTACTGCCAGGAACTCCTCGGTTTGTAATATTCTATTTAAAGCCTCATTAACACGACTGCTATGGTCTGTTTTTACAGAGCAGCAGAGTTTGTGCTGGGCCTGACACACTGTCTGTTACCTGGACACGTGGGCGTTGTGTCGGACCCTTGTGTGGCAGAGCATGTTAGGCAGCCGCTGTGGCACCAGGATCCTGATCTGCTCCACTGAGCTGCACAGCTTCAGGATGCCCACATACAGACCTGGCTGGGCCCACTGGATGCTGTGCCTGTGGAAGGACAGCTTCTCCTGGAGGACACCGAGAAACCGGAATGATGGAGAAAATGAGATGTTAATAGGATGTAATGTTTAGATTTCTTTTATTCCGGCATCTCATTTTGTTTTTAATTTGGTTAGGCAATTTGATTTAGGGTCGCTAGATTAATTCAAATCTGCCTTCAGGGTTATCTGAGTTGCACAGGAGAGAAAATCATGACTGAATAATCAACCCGGGAAAGTCAATACACTCAGTCACTATGTCCTCTGTGTTCAGTACACTCGGTCACACTTAGCAGCCGCTCAGCTGTCCACAGTGTTGGAGTCTTCTTTGTGTGTCTCTTGTACACAAACACAAATCCAGGCTCACCTTTAGCTGCTCGTAGAGCATGTCCATGGCAGTGGGCTCAGGCAGGAGAGGGGTCCTGCTGCGGTACTTCTCCAGGCGGGCCAGCGACGTCCAGTGGAGTGGCGGGTCGGGACAGCTTGGAGTGGAGCAGAAGAGTCGAGGTAAAAAAAATGAAAAACCACATAGAACCACCACTGAAAAACGGTTTGATTTATTCATATTGGTATAACATGGCTAGACACATCATCACTCATCGTTCTGCATGTATGATAAATAAGCCCTGGCCTGACTAGTTAATATCTCCTTTGCGGAACAAAGAGTCTGACTTGGGTGGTTGATAAAGTCTGTGTTCCCTGTGGAGGAAATAAAATGGTGCGACAGAGATTAACAGAAAGTAACACGGGGCTCTTTCTCACCTGGGAGGGTCTGAGAACTCCTTCAGAGTCACTAGCAGTACATTTCCCTGGCGGTCTTTCAGGGGTTCATAGTACACCTGACCCAGGTCCACTGTTCCCAGGGAAGACTGGCGGCACAGGTGGAGCAGTAAAACAGAAACAGGAGGATGAATAAATATGAGGATATTAAGGATTAATCCAGTGAAACACAGGCTCTGGTGGTACAGGTGTGCAGTCTGAGATAAGGAAGCGACTAGAGGAGTAGGAAAAGATGTAAAGAGGTAATTAAAATAGCAATTGAGCCATTTTGATTTCTCTTATCATGCTCTTGTTAAGCTGCTTAACCTCCTACCTGCAGCTGAGAAACGGCTCTTAAAATGTTGTGCCTGTTTTGAAGGAGGGACGAGGGAGATGAGTGAGCAGAGGAAAGGGCCTGCTGCAGCCAGGGCACCTGCTGCCATGCACAGGACAACTACAAGACAAAGATAATGAATTAAGTTTCAAGCTGGAGCTGATACAGAAAGCTGCACAGGCTTCATCCCAAATGAATAAATATGCAGGAACAAGCAAACAGATTTACAAGCAGTTCACCTTGGCAAACCAAAGGAAGTCGTGGGTGATGGAGGTGGAGCAGCAGTGGATCTCCACCAGTGGAATCTGATCCTCAGCCGTCACCAGGATGTTGTCCTTGTGGTAGAACACAGTGGCCAAGTACACGCCCCTAATGAGCAAATGCACAGAAAATCAACAACAGAAACAATGGAATATGTGACTCTAGCGCTGAATCACAGACTACAAGTCTAAAGTGACTCAAACCTATAAGAAACTATAAACGCCTTGCTGTCAGGTGAAACGTTCTATCTACAACAGATCAGGTTTTGGCTTGACTAAAAGTTATTTTAGACACTGTCCTGTCGATTTTTAAAACTTCATCATATGAAAAGGATCTGAATTGTCAACTCTCAAAACAGCCTCCAAGAAAATCAGATTCCTCAGAACAACACACCAGTCCAGTAAAGACCATGTTCTAACGGTGCTCTTATCACGCTCAGCTGTAAATACCACATAACCTTATTACAAGTTATGCAACTTCTGTTTGTGCCTATTGTCATAAAGCATTTTGTAGCAAACTGCCACGAGTTGAACAATCAGCCTCTTTTTAAAGCAGTGCGGTGCTTTGTATTCATGCGGTTCCACCATTTCCTAGTTAGGAGCTGTCCCACTTCACTGTCAGCGCCAGTGTGTGGAGGGTGGCAGTGAGAAGCCTTGATCATTCACCTGCAGCTCGCCACAGTTCAGTGATTTCAGCCAACCTCCTGTTCAAAAGAGCTCCTGGCTAATCTTCAGGCTTTAATGTGACTACTGTTCTTTTTCAAAAACCGTAACAGATAAGAGTCTGAACTTGTGCTTTGTAGTCTACCCTGCTGTAATCACAGCACATTTTATCCCTTAATCTTTACACCCTCAGGGCACAGTGGGACAGGTGAGGCAGGTGGAGTGAGTGCTACCTCTGCAGGAGACGAACAAACTTGGTGGCCGACTGGAACAGTTGTTTGATGCCTCGAGACACCGACAGACGCTTGTTGGGGCTCTGGGGCTTAGAGCTCTCTGTGGAGCGGAGGTGAGAGGCATCAGAGGGGAGGAAAACCACTTTATCTGACCAAGTACATCCACTGTGTACACACAAGACACTGGTGAAGGAGGTGAAGTGGTTTTCTCTGGACTGAACAGACATGACACAAACGGTACAGGAAAATAGAACAAAACAGTGGAAAAGTAGAAATAAAATGTGATGAAGTGTCAGCGTCTAGTGTCTGGTGTTTTCGATACTTATATTAGAGAAAGCAAAACCTTAGCAATCCTACAGAAAAGCAATTGTGATATGTTCTCTAGCCTCGTACTGGGACACCGTGGGCAGAGCCGATACCTCCATAGTTTCATTTCCTTTACTAGATGTTGGGACTGGGCAAAATGCAAGGAAGACTGTTATAGTTACATGAGGATTTTATCACATTTAGTGAAAAATAGGAGCTAAAAATAGGTTTTTGTGTCCATTTCACTGTGATAGAAAATATAGTCATACTACTGGGATAAATAAATGTGTATTGTTTGATGGACACGTGCTTGCTCAACAGAAACTGCATGTGCAGTTGATATAAGTGTCACTAATAGACCCGTGTTACCTATGCAGTATCCTCTGTAATGTGGTTCCCTGGCATCTTCCAGCAGCGTCCTCACCAGGCCTTCATGGTGTCTGAACTGTGACTTCACACCGGTGCACTCTCTCCAACCTACACAGGAAGCAATAGAGAAACAAATGATCACTTTCATTTTTACGCAATTAGGGAAAATTATTCCAGACATCAAAAACACATTTGCAGGCGAGTCCTGGGTGCTGCTTTTGCCTGTGTTGCTGATTAAGAAGCAAGAACAAATGCATGAGACCATCTGTGTGCTGTGCCTCCAAACGTTTCAATGCTGATTCAGTCCAAGCTGCTCTGTGTCTCTGTTTAGGGAGGGTATGAATTTCAGGTTCAGTTTCATTACCTAACTAATACTGAAACATGTAGAACATCACTAATATGGTTGTATTCTGACTTATGACTGCATTTAAATATTTTGCCTTTATTCTCCATTTTAAAAATGTTGTGCGCTGCTGTTTAAAATGTAAAATAACAGCAAGTATTGCAGAGAGAAAGAGGGCATGGCATGCAAGAAAGAAAACTGGTCCATGCATTTGTTACTTCCAGGCTGGACTACTGTAACTCTTTACTATCAGGATGTCCCAATAATTCCCTAAAAAGCCTCCAGTTAATCCAAAATGCTGCAGCCAGAGTACTGACAGGAACTAGCAAGAGAGATCATATCTCTCCCATATTAGCTTCTCTCCACTGGCTCCCTGTAAAATTCAGAATAGAATTTAAAATCCTTCTCCTAACATACAAAGCCCTTAATGACAAGGCTCCATCGTATCTTAAAGACCTCATAGAGCTTCATCACAACAAAGCACTTTGCTCTCAGGTTTACTTGTGGTTCCTAGAGTCCACAAAAATAGAATGGGAGGCAGAGCCTTTAGCTATGAAGCTCCTCTCCTATGGAACCAACTCCCAGTCTCAGTTCGGGAGGCGGACACCCTCTCTACCTTTAAGATTAGACTTAAGACGTTCCTTTTTGATAAAGCTTATAGTTAGGGCTGGATCAGGTGACCCTGAGCCTTCCCTTAGTTATGCTGCTATAGGCCTAGGCTGCTGAGGGGCCATGATGCTCTGAGCTCTTCTCCTCCCCGGTGAAGGGTGGTGATTGGGCCGTGGCTACAAAGAGGCATATGGCCCATATAGACCATAGAAGTCAATGTGTGTTTTGTGTAGCTGAGGAAACCTTACACAGCCTGTGGCTCAATCATCCTCTCTTTTCTTTGGTAAAACAGTGGTTGAATGGTCTGGGCCAAGTGATGGATGACATGGTCTTTATATTTGGTCCTAGATACAGTGCCATGCAGCGTTGACAGACCTGTTTGCTTAATTTTTTTTAAACAGGTCATGCAAAAATGAGTGTGTGGCCCAGTACTAGGAACAAAATGAAGGGAGCAGGGTGTTCAGATGCTGAGCAGTAGTTTAGGACTCTGGTGTCTCCATGACTCAAAGTAGAATTTACATATTATAAAATGAGGACAAATCTAGAGGAGTTTGTTTCTGTCTGGGGATTTGTTTTATGTAGTGTCTTCTAAGACTCACTTCTTCTAAATTTCTGATTGAATGAACCAGGCCATTTCACTTTATTTTTGTTCACGATGCCAATTATAGATGTTGGGGTGAATAGGATGTGAACAGGATGTGTGGGTGTGGTTTTATTTACCTATTTATCTTCTGTGGTTTTATTGTAAATGGATAAGTTGGTTTATTAAAGGTTTTCTTAAAGGTCAAGGTCAAGCTCTCCTCTCCTCTCTCCCCATCCATCTTTATGCCACCATTACACATCACTGTGTGTCTCTCCCCTCCCCTCCTCTCTCTCCCTATGCTTCTATATGCCACCATTACACATCACTAACTTTGTGTCCCCTCTCTCTCCCTGTACCTTTCTGCAGGTTGCCCTGGCCCTGGAGCTCTACGTCTCTGATCAGCCACATCAACCTGACCAGTGTTTGATTGTTGAGGTTTCTTCTGTTAAAGGGAGTTTTTCCTCCCCACTGTCACCGAGTGCTGCTCAAGGGGGATTTGTTGGGTTTTATTCTATAATAATAATAATAATGATAATAATGTCAAGACCTGACTATGTGAAGTGCCATGAGTTGATTTTTGTTGTGGTTTGGCGCTATACAAATAAAACTGAATTAAATTTAATTGAATTTTAGCTCAAATTCAAACTCAAAGCAGCACAGGTACAAGGCCCACTGACAATAAAGGGACATCATTAATTCTCCACGTTTTAATAATTCACTTATCTGCCAGCCGTGAGTCGAATTCCACTTATTTCTCATTAAGCTTGCTGTCAGCCAAGTAATTTCATTACAGAGAAAAAGAATGGAGCCTTTCACAGTGGTAAATCGACATTCATCAAAGTTTGCACTTCGTTGTACTCACTGGAAGGGGCAGCGCTGACTGGAGCGGAGCGCTGAGGCAGACCCCATCCTTTCACATTGTAGGCACTCACTCTCACAAAGTAATGCACTCCCTGCATTTGGAGAAGCACAAGGCTGCCAGATTATCAACGTGCATTAACCTCATGAATCGTCTGTTCTGGGGAAAACGAATCAAACACCGCTCTTATTAATTCATTTAGTTAAGTAAGGTGGTTGAGTGGGAAGTGGTAGAGCACAGTAGATGGTGACTGGGGAGGAACCAGTACCATCTGCATATTGCATGTGTGTACATAGTCAAGTGTCCTTACACTGCGTGTTTATCTATGTGTGCACTGAAACAAAAGATTTGTTGGATTTACTTGATTGTAATGTGTACATCGGTCCCACACAATGATAATATGTAAAATCAACATAATTTTCTTTATGTTAACAGAGGAAACACGAATGAATTGCGTTGCATATACTAGGATAATTTGTGTAACTCCAAAGACCCGGTGAGTCCTTTTTTTCAGTGTGGTTACGGTTAGTATCTGTGGATGTCCTGCTACTTTGCTGCCTGTGTGTGTGTGTGCGCTGCATTACTTACTACTGTGAGTCCTTTGATAGTATAGGATGGATTCTTGGTCTCTGAAACTTGGGCTGAGCCAAGGATGCGTTTGAAGCTGGCTGAAGTGCTCCATTCCACTGCGAACACAAAACAGTCTCTCTGACATTTTATTGTCTGGCTTTACTCAAAGCCCCCATAAGGGAGAACTAAGGACCTGAGTGTTTACAGTGTCGGGAACTTGCTGTACCTGGGCTTAATCAGCCCTTGGCTGTGAAGCATAACATTTAGGTAGCAAAACTAGAGAAGCCAAACTAGATGCATAAATATCAGAATTTTATAACCAGCCAGCTTAAATACTGTGCCAGACTTGGACCAATAACAGTAAATGTTTCATTAATTCCCTTATTCATCCATCATGCCTGTGGCCATCTATCCACCTGTCTATACGTCCAACCACAGTATATCAAAAAACTATAAATGACCGACACCTACCTCTGTACTGGGTTATGAGCCCCATGTTGTTGCCCTCTGGCTCTTTAATCGACACAAACAGTGAGGATGCACTGGTCACCAGGATGGACACGTGACTGGGAGGGCCAGGGAGTGCTGGAGGAAACGTGTAAAATACAAACCAGTGTTCAAAATGAGGACAAAGAATATAAAAGTACTGGGCTCTATCCTAATGAACTGTAAATAATTATTTCCTATTTATCGTTTACAAAACTAATAATAACTCTTTCACATTTGGCCCCTGACAATTAATTTTATGTGACTGAAGTGTTTAAACAGCACTGTTATCATGCGTGGCCAGCTCAAAGGACAGCTGCTGGTTTATAGGTTAACAATCTCATTATCTTGGTTCTCAACCCAACAAACCAGGCTTGCTGGTAAAGTTTAGAGCTTCATCGGTTGGACTTGAGTTGCCCTAGACACTGCATCTCTGCAGCTGATCCTGCACTCTGACCTGCC